TGGCTGTGACCAAGCAATGACCATAACCTTGCCCCTTGTCAGCTCTACTATACACCTGGGAATTCTGATCATTCACATGAACTTATAGGCCCATTGTCTACCAACCCTATATATGATCTTGGATACACTCAGATGGAACTACTTTTTAAGGAGTTTTCCCTTTATGACTAGTCAAAATTTCCAGCAGACTTCCCTCATTCTAAGAGGCTGTCTGTGGTCCTGGACAATAAGGAGCTTTCAGGTAGAGAAGCAGCCATAGTAGTCTCTCTGAATCACAAGTTAGAACTACTACTACAAAAGGAACTTGGCAGCACATCTCTGTGGAACTGCTGGTGTACTACCCTGAATGACAGGAGTCCAGATGGTTTGGCTGGAACATGTTTTCAGAAACCACAGGTTGGAAAATAGGGTAACTGTGTGGAAGGACTGAGGTCCCTCTGAGCAAAAAATAAAAAAAAAAAACCTTCTAGGGCAGAGTCAGTAGTGGTAAGTAATTAATCTAGACAAGAGAAAACTCCATCAGGAACCCCTACTATATCTAAGTGTCTGTGATACTGAATTATAGCCTTGTTTCTTTTAGCATACCACCTTACTTTGGAAAAAGGAAACTGGTAATGCCTAAGGCATTTGACTGCTACCCAGAAGGTTGGTGGTTCAAACCCACCAGTAACTCGGTGGAAGGAAGATGGGGCAATCTACTTCCCCAAAGATTTACTGCCTCAGAAACCCAATGGGGGTCGCTATGAGTCGGAATCAATTCGATGGCAGTGGGATTTTTGGTTCTTTACTCCTCACTTATCAACCACCTCATTATCAGATATTTCATGTTTACGGCAATAGTAAAAATCTACTATTCAACTCTTTTGAGCATTAAAGACACACCTGGTAGTAAAAGATGCTGAGGTTCCTGACAGGGTCTCTGACCAGTAGACCCCATGTGCACATCTCCCAGGAGGGGAGAGGGGGTATGGTCTCCTGGATTCCTTAAGTGCCAGGCAGAACAGAGGGGGAGCTGAAGTAGGGCCTATGGGGATAGGATGCTACCCAATGGGTTCTGGGTGCCTATAGTGGACTGAGGCTAGGGGAGTGGCAGCCAGTATCCTAAAGGTGGGCTGACCTCAGGGATGAGGTGGGCTGTGGTCAGAAGGAACCCTGAGATGGGGCACTCAGATGCCCAGGGCCCACAGGACCCCATGTCAGCTAACCAGCACGTGTGTGACCCCTCACACTTCCTCGATGGCCCCTCCTGGGCAAGCACAGGTAAGGGTAGGACAGACAACCTAGGTGGGAGTGGGGTCAGCAGGTGAGTAGCCAGCAGCAGCTACAATTTGAGTTCAAGAGCAGAGGCCAGGCCTAACCATCACAGCCTCAGAGGAAGCTCTGGATTGTCAACTCTTATGGGAACATGGAGGCAGGGGGGACAGGGCTGCCAAGGGAAAGCCAGGGATGATCAGGTGAGGGGCCAGCAGAGGACCCAGTGGGCAATGTGTACCCACCTCCCCTGTGGCACCCAGGCCCTCCTGCTTATAGAGAGCCCCCTGCCCACCAAAAAGCCAACAAAGGTACTCTGAAGTCATTAAAAGGATGAACCAGGGCTACCCATTCTAAAAGTATAGTGAGGGCAGGAAAGGGAGGGGATCCCAGGGATGAGGATGGGGCTGGCACTTGGGCCACTTGGGTACCTGGAAGACTGAGCAGCCCTCCTCTGTGGGCAGCGGTGGGGGCTAAGCTCTCATGAAGCAATAGGGGAGGGAAGAGACAGGGCTGGCAGGTGACCTCAGCAGGGGCCCAGTGGGACATTCACAGAACAAGTGAGGGGATGTGGTAATGTGGTTAACCTCCATTTTTGCATATTGTTGGTTTTCACATAATGACCTGGGTTTTGGAACCTAACGATGTCGACAAGTGAGGAGTTGGTGTAATTTGTTTTCAATTTCAGAAATTTTAAGAAGTAAAATTTTCCCATATAGTCTAGAGGAGAAACCCACAAATTAGATACCAAGACTGGCAGGGACCATCTCATTCTTGAATACAACACAACCTTCAGACCAGACATATTCAGTGCCCAGACATCCTAGGGGACTAGGAGGACCCTCCCAAGCCTGTATAATAAATAATAAGTTCTGATGAAAATTTAGGTCTCAGCAAATAAGGTTAGTCAAACAGACTGCCAGTCACATCTACATACTCACCTTTACAGCTCTTCATATCTGAGCAGATACCAAAAGAAACTACAGCACCAAAAATGATGCTACTACAACAAAGGGAGTCAGAAAGCACTTAGCTACTTACCAGGACAAAGGGTGTGGGGATCTAGGAATTGCAGAATTTGCAAAGAATCCTGCAAAGAGCTGTTGTATTATTCTGTAGGAGGAGAAAAAAAATAGGTAAGACAACAGATGAGTGAAAGTACTCATGTCCACCCAATCACCAATTCCATTCCCAAACCACAAGAGCTTTTCACTGCCTATTACACAAGATGGGAGCTGTGGTAGCGTAGTGCCTAAGGCACTTGACTGCTAACCAGAAGGCTGGCGGTTTAAACCCACCAGCCACTCCTCAGAAGGAAAGTTGGGCAATCTACTTCTGCAGTGATACTGCCTCGGAAATCCAAGGAGGGGTCACTATGAGTCAGGTCCAACTCGATGGCACATAACAACAACAACAATTACACAAGATATAGCACCAGAAAGAAGTCAGCTACCTGGAGGCATGCTATTTTGTTCTTGTGGCTATCCTCCAGAGTTATTCTATCTTATTATTATCTCATGGATTAATAGATTTTTGTGAATTAGGCTGGAAAAAGATCTGATGATATGGTATAATTTTCAAACTAAGTTCCTTAGATTCCTGGCACCAATATGAGGAAAGGCTGAGAAGGATGCAGAGCCAGTGGGGTTCTAGGCTAACCTCTCTTTAACACGAGTAATTCCATTTTTGTGGGTTTCTGTATTTAAAGGGTTCTCTTTTTTTAAGTTTGAAGGTAATTTTATTTTACAACATATATCACTGAACTCTGGTGATACAGTGATTAAGCACTTGGCTGCTAACTGAAAGTTCAAACCTACTAGTTGCTGCGTAGGAGAAAGAAGTGGCAGTCTGCTTCTGTAAAAATTACAGTCTTGGAAACCCTGTGGGGCAGTTCTATTCTATCCTATAGGGTTGCTATGAGTCAGAGTCAATATAACAGCAATGGGTTTTTTCTTTTTTTTTTTAATATTAGCTCTCAAGGGGTGTTTCAAATATTTCCAGCATAAATACACATGCCAAGCATGTCATTCTGAAATTTAAAATGGCACCTCTGTCCAGTCCTTTATCCTAATGAGTTTATCTTTATTACCCAAAGAACTACTGAGATGCTATCTCAGCAAAACAAAAAACCTGAAGTTACTGTACCCTAGATCTACTGTTCTCTGAATGATATACACTTTTAACCTCCTGGTTCTTACTTTATTTATACAGTCAATCAATATAACAATGGCAGTAGCCAATATTAAATGCTCCCTGCTACTAAAGTTCAACAATAGCTAACTACACTATGCCTTCCATGGTTGCTTTAAAATGTGTTCACAAATTATTTGATATTTCTCCCTTGAGTGTGGACTAGGCTAAGTAACTCATTTCTTAAGGAGTAAAATATGGCAGAAGCAATCACTGATGACTTCTGAGATTAAGTCACAATAAAGCACTGTGGCTTCCTCCTCGCTTGCTCTCTCTCTCTCTCAGTTCACATGCTCAGGGAAAGTGCCTTGTCAACCAGCCCTTTGGAAAGACCCACATGATGAGGAACTGAGACCTCCTACCAATAATCAGCACTTGCTAGTATGTAAGTAAGCCCAAGTCAAACCTTCAGATGACTGCAGCAATATCCAACATCTTGACGGTAGACTCATGAAACCCTGAGCCAAACCACCCAGCTAAAGCTGCTCCTGAATTCCTGACCCACTGAACTTATGAGATAATAAATGTTGGTTATTTTAAGCCACTAAGCTCTGGAGTCATTTGTTTTACAGCAATAGAAAACTAATACAAATTTTGATACCTAGAAGTAGGGGATACCATAACAAAAAACTAAAATGTAGGAATAGAACCCAGCAGTGGACAGAAGCTGGAAGGGCTCTAAGGAGAGTGTTGGTGAAAGTTTGAACACCCTTAAAGAAAGAGCAGAAGCAGGATAGGCTTTGAGGAAATTACAGGCAAGCACTAAAGGGAAAATGAGGAAAACCTGATTGGAAACCAGAAGAAAAAATTTCTTGGTTCTGTAGCAGCATAGAGTTTAGCAGCACTGTTGTCTGCCATAACACGGAAACTAGTAATTGTGGTAATCTAGCTAATGAGACTTCCAGTCGAGTGTTGAAGATGCCTCCTGGCTTCTTCTTACTGCTTATATAAAATGAGAGAGGAGAGGGGATAAACTAAAGGAAGGACAGTTAAACAAAAAGGAATTAGGACTGAACAATCTGAAAATTTCCAGTCTCTTCAGATAGTAAATAATACTAAAATTAAGAAATGGCTCCTGAGCAAAGATCAAATCCAGGGCACTGCCAAAAGAACATGGCTTAAGATGAAGCCAAGAGAGTGCTATAAAATTCTTTGTTAAAATCTCATAAAGATCTAAGATAGTACCTCAAAGAATCATTCATCTTAAGAACTGGATTTCTAAGAAGATTAAGGATGTCATCTTCAGCAATCCCTACAGAAGCCCAAGGTAAAGAAGAGCTTCTTTAGAAGAGATTTGTAGGTGTGGCTTTTGGCTAATGGCATGAGCCCCAGTAAGATGAACAGAAGAGCCAAAGTTTTTTTTAAAAGAAATACTGCCATCTTAGGCTTAAAGTGACAGAGAACACAAAACAAAAAGAGGCCTCTGGGCCCTCAAAATTCTACTAGCAAGAAGGCTGAGAAAGCTATGCAGTTGCAAATATGGATGATTTTTCATGGAAAAGAAAGGATGACTCAGAGGGTAGAATCAAGAGCCCAGGAGGAAGAAATATGAACCACAGAGACTCAATTCTGGGGAGGAATAGCACTAAGTCTTAGTCAAGGAACTTTAAACATCCAAAATGTTATGAATTAGTAATGACTCCTTTTAAGGAGCCCTGGTAGCACACTGGTCAAGTGCCCAGCTGCTAAATAAAAGGTCAGTTCCACAAGAGAAAAATACTACTATCTGCTTCCATAAAGATTTACAGCTTTGGAAACCCTGTGGGGCAGTTCTACTCTGTCCTACAGGGTCACTATGAGTAGGCACTGACTCAATAGCGAGTTTTTTAAACAACTCCTTTGTGCCTCCCCTTACCCCCTTTTTTGAATAGGAATATTTATACCACTTATCCTGTGCTCTCCCACTACTGTATAGTATGTAAAAGGCAGATGACTTGTCTCTTTAGGTTACGTATCTTCAGACCAAAAGGAATTGTACTTGAGAAGTAGTACATAAAGAATTACACCCAAAGAGTCTCATCTACAACATGGACCTAATTTAGATGATAACCACCTAGATTTCAAGCCAATGGTACAAAGGGATGAGACTTTGGGGGGATCTTGGGAGAAGGTGAATGTATTTTGCATGTGAGAAATGTAAGTAATTTGTGGTCAGAGGAAAAACTGTGGTGGTTATAAAATATGTTCTCAGATTCCTTGATAATTCTCCCTTCAAGAGGTGGAACTGAATCAGCCCCATCCCCCAAATTGGAGTGGACTTAAGAATAAAACATGGCAGAAATGATAGCTGTGACTTCCAAGACAAGAATATAAAAGACATTATAGTTTCTTTCCTTCTTCATCTCCCTCTCTTAGATCATTTGCTCTGGGGGAAACCAGCTGTCACATTGTGGGGACACAAGGAGCCCTATGGAGAGGCCCACATGGTGAGAACTGAGGCCTCCTGCCAACAACCATGTGAGCGAGTCATCTTAGCAGCAGACCCTGCAGTCCCAGTCAAATCATCAGATGACTGTAGCCACAGCTCACCTTATGAGACCCTGTGCCAGAACCACCCAGCTAAGCTGTTCTCAAATTCCTGACACTCAGAAACTAAGAGATACTAACTGCTGTTTTCAGCTGCTAAATCCTGGGGGTGATTTGTTACACAGCAACAGATTACTAATATACTTCCCTTGCTTGTTAGTGACTGGAAGAGTATCACATACTTTGATTGACAAATAAGTAAATGGTAATGATCAAGTTTGAAAGACAGCCTTGTTCTTTAGAGCCCTACAGTTGACCACATACAAATGCTTGGCATTGCTAGGCACACCTTACCAGCTATTGATTTCTCTTTCTTGGCTGCTTACTCTTCTGAAAGTCAGATGTTGGCTCCATGTCTTTGCAGCAGTGACAGAAGACAGACTGCTCAGGGTGACTCCAATAATAGCATAAGCTGTTGTTAGGGCCTTATTGTCAGTTGATACGTACAATATTCCCATTCAATTTTTTGTTTGTTTGGTTAAAAAGATTAAATTTTTTCTTGTAATAGGTAATAATTAAAAAGAAAAAACAACGCACTGCCATCGAGCTGACTGCAACTCATAGTGACCCTTTAGTACAGAGTAGAACTGCCCCCATAGGGTTTCCAAGTCTGTAAAGCTTTACAGAAACAAACTGCATCTTTCTCTTGCACAGCGGCTGGTGGGTTCAAACTACTTACCTATTGGTTAACAGCCAAATGCTTTAGCCACTACACAACCAGAGCTCCTAGATACTAATAGATAGCTGAAATGTGGATACGTATGTATGTGGGGTGTAAATATTTCATTTTAGCAACCCATAGAAGAAAAGAAAAAAAATTACGGGTTCTGATTGTTATTGTTGTTATGTGCCGTCGCGTCAGACCCGACTCATAGCGACCCCTCCTTGGGTTTCTGAGACAGTGTCACTATGGAAGTAGATTGCCCAACCTTCCTTCCTAGGAGTGGCTGGTGGGTTTGAACCTCCAGCCTTCTGGTTAGCAGTCACGTGCCTTAGGCACTATGCTACCAGAGCTCCTACAGATTCTGAAGGGGAAGTCAAATACAAAGACCAGATAAGAGCCTTCCCTTACTTCCCAGACCTGCACTCTTTAAGTTTTCTGTCTACCTGTCGGGGTGCTCCTTCCAGTCTCCTTTGCTTATTCCTCCTTATCTTCCAAATGTCTCACCAGGGCACAATTTGTTAATCTCTTGTATTTTTATTTTTACTCTTTTGGTAATTGCATCCAGTTTTGCAATTTTAAATAACATGTATAGGCCACAAAGACCCCTGGTGGCAAAGAGTTAAAGCACTCAGCTGTTAATTCAAAGGTTGGTGGTTAGAACCCACCCAGCGGCTCCACAGGAGAAAGACCAGCCAAGAATACCCTATGGGGCAATTCACTCTGTCATATGAAA